GGGCAATGTGCTCTGCTTGGGGTATGTTTTGATAAGCCACATTGCTATCTGATGAACAGTAAGTTGTAACGACACAGCAGAGACGAATATTGCTTTCATTCAGTGAATCACAACATAGCGTATGCCTACATTCTCGCTTTCTCGTGTTCGTCCTGCTTGACTGATTCTGACGATATGGTCCAACTTCTCACACACTACATGAATCCATCAGCGTCTTTCGAATCATCCATCCGTTCTTTACGAAAACTTGTACTCGGTATCAAGACGTGTGGAAAACATTCATTCCTCCTCTCGAAATATACCAATTGTTCACAATTCCTTCAATCTTCTCATGCGTCCATTCATACGACCTCTCGCTACCAGGTCCGAACTTCAACTATCTTACTCCTGTCTCCCGGTTCACGTCTTCCGTTCCAATCTCATGCTTTTCTTGTATCCCTTACTTCGCTCACCACGGGATACTCGAGACCCACTTATCTCGTTTTTCTCTTGTATCACTGGTCCTCTGACCTTGTCCTCCCCATCGGGAACTCTCTGGGATTTCCACGGGAATTTACACCATTACAATTACAAAGTCACTAATTCAGTAAAGACCAACATTGGCTTACTCTCCAAGGAAGCAGAACTGATCTTGCAGTGGATACCAGCCCACTGTGGTATTCAAGGAAATAAGAGAGCAGATGAGTTGGCAAAAGCTGGGAGTAATCTTCCACAACCTCATCCACTACACAGCTACAAGGAAACCAAAACAGCGCTAAAGCAGTCTTTCAAGAGGGAGTGGAGAAGGCAGAATGGAGATTACAGACCAGATAGTGATAGCATAAACAAAAGGAAAGAACAAACATCATTTTTTAGATTTCGGACTGGACACCATGGTCTTCGAGCACACATGTACAGGATAGGCATACACGAATCTGCTGCCTGTAATTGTGGAGCAGAAAGACAGACCCCTGAGCACATACTGCAGTACTGCCCACATCTCTGCCAGCAAAGACTGTGGATCTGGCCCAGGGAATCTACATTGCGAGAGAAGCTATGGGGGACCGGTGGCGAACTTAAACGCACAATCCTTTTTGTGACCCAGACGGGACTCAATGTGTAGCATGACTGATGTCGAACGCAGAAGGAGAAGTTGTACATCCCGATAGCTCACAGTGTATGGCTAGAGACATGCTGGATGCGAACTGCTTCCGCTCATCGGAACAGGCTACTTTAGATCTCTTGTTCTACAATTACAGCCAAAGAAACACAAACATGATCACACACAGTCAACATTACTGTGCATTCACTCAAACACGGAACATCTACAAATGGCAAGAAAATTGAAACTAAGCATATATTCAACAATAGTCATCAGGCCTTAAAGAAATTGTAATATCTTTATTAAATTCTTACTAAAATTATACTAACTAATTTTAAACCACTTTAAAACTGTAATACAATTTTCAAAATATAATAATTAAATATTTTATTAACACTTTTTTGTTCATTTCGAGTCTTCATGCCCAGTGTCATCATCATCATCATCATCACCATCATCATCATCATCATCATCATTCTCCTCCTCTTCTGCTACTTCTTTTCGAGTAGTTACTTTACCCCCAATCAAACAGCAGCAGAAAAAACAAATTAAAAATAAGGGAAGCAGCAATAATAGAAGGGCTAAGTATGGCAACGTCTGTACGTCTTCTGCAAACAAACAAAAATAGAGGAGAACGTTTAAGAAAAGAGCAATATAAAATGTCAGATCTATTTTATATATATCTATGGGGTAATTTTTTATGTGGCTGTGGTCACAACAAAAATTGACACGTAGTCTCCATGGCTCCACTGGTGCTTTCAGTCTCCTGCTCATCTGTCTATGGTATCTGATCACTTGCTCCATTCATTATTTCCCCCTATCTAATTACCTTCGTGTTTCTTTAAGAAAACAACGAAAACCCCAGGTACGTTAAACTCTGCAAATATCCGGCCTGAACTCTTCAACACAAGCTAGTACATTATCAGCGTTTTAATTTTTTTTTTTTTTTTTGAATTTCTTACAAGCGAATACAATACAAGCGAAGAGTTAAAATTCCGATGGTATCAGTAACTATCTGATTGTATATTCGTCTCGCCTTTCCCCTGAGTGTCAAGCTTTGGCCAGATGCCCTTGTCACCCCTTGCCATGCCATTCTCCTCAGGCCGTAATGTTCACTCGTTCCGAAAGGCCCTCACAAATTCCAGCTTGTCATACATCAATTTAACACCAAGTAGTGCAAAACCGGCAAGTCTATCGGCCCGCTCATGCTAACTACCCGGGACCTTTACAGTGATGCTTGCCACTCTGCACATAGCATGCCTTTCTCCACCTTTCTCAACATGCTCAGTGAGTCAGTTACAATGACGGCGTATGTGAACAGCTAATTCTCAAGCCAGCGGAAGGCAGCAGTGACTGCCTCCACCTCTATTCTTAAACTAGGCGTTATGATATCATATGCCAGACTTTGTTTCACCAAGCGACGTCCATTCGCCATCGCTATGAACTCTCATGCACTTCGTCTGCTCTCAACACAGAGCCATCAGTATATACAGTCACATCATCTGGGTGGGAATTTTCATGAATAATTTGTTAAACTTCTGATTCTGCAGCACCAGTTGGCCAGTCCCTGCACTCACGTCCCAAAGTGATTAGAACCCTACCCAAGTCTGAAACCTGAACGGACTCTCTGACCCACTACTCTCCTCGTCTAAATTTATCAAATCTGCACACATGTAAAAATCGCAAACGTAAAACGGGGTATAAATTGGATTATACAAGGTCCGACAATTATGTAATGAGGCTGATTTTTTAATGGTTGAGACAAAAATGCCATCTATGATTCACATCATAGAATCCAAAGAGGCAACCTTTGTCTACGATCTGGAAACTTGTCATCGCTTCCCAATAAGGGGAGAACAAACAAGCCGCCATTTTGTTAATCTTGTCAAAGGTGCATTGTTACGGAATCAACAAAAAAGCTGACATTAAGTTCTGTTGAACTCAAAAAAAAAAAAAAAATATATAAGGGCGCCATTGCAAAAGTTTAATATATGCAATAGGTTTATGGGCATAATTGTTTATCTCGTGCACAGATTTTAAGCTGGTATTCACGATTCAAAAGTGATGTGGAAATGATTACTAATGCAACTAGACCTGGACGCCCAATTTCTGTTCGTAATGAGGAACTCGTTGCAAAACTCCGAGAATGGATACAAGAAAATCGTTGTTCGACTCTGTGGATGATGCTAGACGAATTTGGTGTTAATACAGAGACTATTCGTAAAATTGTAGTGAAAGATTTGGGCAAGAAAAAATTTGCTTGCCGGTTTGTTTTCAAAAGTTTGGAACTGGTTTCTTCTTCATGACAACGCACTGGCTCAAAGGGCATTAGTTGTGCAGGAATTTTGGCCCCAAAACAAGTGTGTTTTCTCAATCATCCACTCTACTCCCTAGATTTATCTCCCTGTCAATTTTTTTCTTTTCGCAAAATTAAAGTTACCATTGAAATGAGGCTTCTTTGACGATATTGATAACATACAAAGTGTAACATCGACTTTAAGGGCCATAACAACAGATGAACTACAGTGGTCGTTCCAGTGTTTGTTAGATCGTGCCAAATGCTGTATTAATTCACAGGGGGCTTACTTTGAATAAAATACAGGTAATATTCTCAACTGTTGATTTTTTGAAATTTTTATGGAACTAGTCTCATTACTTTATTCGGACCTTGTATACTGCCTATGATTACATATATTTTAATACCTCTATGGCAAAAAGCTCCTACATAGCCTTCAATGCACCCAAAGCATTTCTCTGTTAACATATGACAATTTCTGTCCCGACAGAATGGCGAACACCGCTTGAAACACAACTCTCCAGAATAGGTCAGGGGACAGGCTAAAATACATAAATATAAACATCACTTGACAATGTAATAGCGAGTACGTCAGTTGTACATCACTTGTACATCAGTTGTACATCACTTGTACGTCAGTTGTACATCACTTGTACATCAATTGTACATCACTTACAATTCGGACGATGCGGAGTGTCTATTAGGCTACATAATCTTAGGTTATAACAATCGAGGTCACAGCACATCAGGCATTCCCTGAGTACTCAGTCTTATAGATGACGATATGTGCTGGCCTGAATGCCATGCTCGATACTTAAGGTTGTGCACAGGACATAATAGAATGGATGGACTGAATAAAGTAAATTTTTGACGTATAAACGACTCAACAGAATAAAATCGATGATGATGAAGACGATAAAAAAAAATTAAATCCACTCTAAATGTGAACAGTACAGACATGTCTTGGTGATTTTTTAAAATATCTATTTATTGCTAGCACACAAACAAATATCTAAATCAATCGCCACTGGATGTACGCTGTAATGATTTTCTGACTGTCTCCTCTACCATCCGAACAAAAGTTAGTAAGTTGTATATCCTTTACAGGAGGTTGAAGAACCAACCCCATAATTTGTTGGCTGTTGTGGTTTTTTTATGCAAGTTAACATCCAGTAGTTTACCATTGCTTTCTGTGCGGTCGGCTTCTGGATACCATTGTCGAAACTAACGCAAGGCGCAAGGCCCGCAGCTTGGATCGAACCCGCTTTGTAATGTTGCGGGGGGGGGGGCGTACCTCACGTGGAGGTGACACGGACCTCACACGGAGATGACACAGACCTCCCGCAGGGATTACCTGGACCTCACACGGAGATGACACAGACCTCACACGGAGATGACACAGACCCCACAAGGAGATGACACGGACTCGACACAGTGATTACACGGACCTCACAGGGAGATGACACGGACCTCACGCTGAGATGACACGGACCTCAAACAGAGATGAAACGGACCTTACACGGAGTAACACTGAACTGAACAGCCAGGCATAGTATAAACTTCCTAGTATAAGCAATGCCTAGTTAGACAAACATTACAATGTAGGTGGACAGAAAGAAAAGCTCATATTCCATGTTGCTTGGTCAACGACCCACTTGTACAAAAGTCCCCTGTGAGATTTCCTAAGCAGGAGAAACACTTCCCCGTGATCATGTCACAACGGCTGTTGGCACATGTTGACGAGCAGTTCTTGTCGCATTGCTCTCCGAAAAAGCCATCTTCGCACTCTGGGGGGAAAAATATCGTTCCTGTATTCGTTATACATGTTGGTACATTAGAATCATGTTAACAAACACATAAATTGCAGCATTAGGTGCATAAATGAGTTAATGCATATAATAAAGTCAGTATTCAAGTACGCATATTCCTATTAAACGGTTTGTCGCCTGCAAAAGCGCCGTATTAATGGATACGGCTTCAGTTAATAGAGCACATCATCCGCATATTAAAACTGACAATGAAAAGTCAAAGATGTGACAGATTTAAATAATCTTTGGTTAGTACTGATCAACAATGCACAGCAAAAGTCAGAAGGAGACTTGCACTAGTTCTGCAGGAATTAAACAACGTGTATTAGATCAGAGCAGCAAGCCATTATTGATGGAACAAAACTTTTTGAGGAAAGTAAGAATAAACAAAGCAACATTGTTTTCCTAAGTGACTGCATATCAGCTCTCAAGGCGACTTAATGGGGTCCACAGGCACCGGGGAGTCTTCACTGACCTACCTGATAAACAAACTCTCACAAAACAGTCAAGTTGTTTTCCTAGTAGATCTTTACTATTTCTTTCCCAGTGGATCCCGGTCCACTGCGGCATACCAGGAAATGAGTTGGCGGACAATCTTTCAAAGAAAGGAACAATGGAAAAACAACACACCCATTAAATCTCATTACCGTAAAACAAAATACTTATCAGGAACAAATATAAGAAATTACAGCCCTCTCCTGTCTAAGAACATGAATTGCAGGCTCAACTAGCAGATGCATTAAAAAAAAATTTCAAAAACTGTACAGTCACTACAGAGTGCATGTCAGATGGGATCACAAACACCTCAGCAACTTCTGCAGTCCTGCCCACTCTACATACAGCGACAACTAAGCGGGCCTCAAGAGCAAAGTGTGCAGAGCAAGCTATGGCGAACCATGGAGGACCTGCAGCTGGAACACCAGTTCATTGAAGCAGCCAACCTGACACTTTGACTTGAACATACGAAACCTAACGCAAAGAAGAAGAAGAAGAAGAAGAAGAAGAAGAAGAAGAAGAAGAAGAAGAAGAAGAAGAAGAAGAAGAAGAAAGAAGAAGAAGAAGAAGAAGAAGAAGAAGAAGAAGAAGAAGAAGAAGAAGAAGAAGAAGAAGAAGAAGAAGAAGAAGAAGAAGAAGAAGAAGAAGAAGAAGAAGAAGAAGAAGAAGAAGAAGAAAGAAGAAGAAAGAAGAAGAAGAAGAAGAAGAAGAAGAAGAAGAAGAAGAAGAAGAAGAAGAAGAAGAAGAAGAAGAAGAAGAAGAAGAAGAAGAAGAAGAAGAAGAAGAAGAAGAAGAAGAAGAAGAAGAAGAAGAAGAAGAAGAAGAAGAAAGAAGAAGAAGAAGAAGAAGAGAAGAAGAAGAAGAAGAAGAAGAAGAGAAGAAGAAGAAGAAGAAGAAGAAGAAGAAGAAGAAGAAGAAGAAGAAGAAGAAGAAGAAGAAGAAGAAGAAGAAGAAGAAGAAGAAGAAGAAGAAGAAGAAGAAGAAGAAGAAGAAGAAGAAGAAGAAGAAGAAGAAGAAGAAGAAGAAAACAAAACAAAGAACCTAAAGTACAACATTTGCAAGGGAGTTCATGTAAATATTTTGAGATCGCGTATCTGTAGCATGATATTTTAAGGATGTGAATTATAGACTCGAAGAAAAGGAAAAATTGGAAATTTTAAAGTTTTACATAAACATTCTGAGGAAAACAGATGGGACACTTCAGCACTATCAGTGCTTTCAGATGGGATACTTCAGCACTATCAGTGCTTTTAGATGGGACACTTCAGCACTCTCAGTGCTTTTAGATGGGACACTTCAACACTATCAGTGCTTTTAGATGGGACACTTCAACACTCTCAGTGCTTTTAGATGGGACACTTCAGCACTATCAGTGCTTTTAGATGGGACACTTCAGCACTCTCAGTGCTTTTAGATGGGACACTTCAGCACTCTCAGTGCTTTTAGATGGGACACTTCAGCACTCTCAGTGCTTTTAGATGGGACACTTCAGCACTCTCAGTGCTTTTAGATGAGACACTTCAGCACTCTCAGTGCTATCTAATGTATCATTGCAACACTCTCAGTGCTATCTAATATATCATTGCAACACTCTCAGTGCTATCTAATGTATCATTGCAACACTCTCATGGCCTTCTTTCAGATGTGACATTTCAACAACGGTTGTGTTGACAATGTCAATATGATCTGATGTGAATTGCAACAATGTCAGTGTTATCAGGTGTGACATTTCAACAATAATGGTAGTGACAATGTCAATGAGATAAGATGTAATGGTTTCAACAGTATTATTGTGATCAGATGTTACATTTTAACAATGATTGTGACATCAATGACAGTGTGATATGACGTGACATTTCAAAATAAATTGTAATGACTCTGTCAGTGTGATAAGATTTAATATTTCAACAATATTAGTGTGATCAGATGTCACATTTTAACAATGATAGTGACATCAATGGCAGTGTAATATGACGTGACATTTTAACATAAATTGTGGTGACAATGTCAGTGAAATAAGATTTTAGATTTCAAAAATGTCAGTGTGATCAGATGTGACATTTTAACAACGACTACGTTCACAGTGCCAGTATGAGCCAATATGACATTTTAACAACGACCACGTTCACAGTGCCAGTATGAGCCAATATGACATCAACAATTTGAGGATGACAGTTTCACTTTGTCCAGTACCGTAACAGAAGCCGGAAATGTTACACCCGCTGCCTCCACAGTTGACAGGACACAGACCGGAGCAGTCGTCTCCGTATCGTCCTACTGGACAGTCTGTGTGGGGACAGAACAGCATATGTACAAGTTGTTGAATTTCCAAACAGAACTAGTGTATTATTTAATATAGCGTGGCTTAGTATCTGACAAAAGGCAAAAACTTGGTGTGTAGTATGTCGACCATGCAGACACGTAAATAAATGGTCCGTAAATTGGTTGGATAGGGAAAATGACTTGAAAGGGAAAGTAGTTACTCTAGACCACATGGAGGTGATCGAGTATATTTACAATGTTTTAAAAAACGCAGATCAGTCCTTCTGTGTTTGCCATATCGACCTTCGAGTTCATTAGAGTGCAGAGACAATTAGGACGCATCTTCAACATCTGCCGCTTCTGCATTGTGCCTGCTTTTCAGTATGCATTCCTCTCAAGATAAAACACTAGTGGTTAGTCAGATATTATAGAAATGTTGATACCAGACAGCAGAACGCAAAATCAAGAAAACAAACACACATTAGTGCTAACATTTTGGGGGGAAAACACCAACGGAAAGTAGACCTTGTGTATTAGTCAATGAACAAAAAGAGTGAACTTTATGCACGAGAAACAATTGCAAATATAGATAACATATTTAAAAGAACATTAATATGAACTGTTTTCCTTGCTGATATATAATCAGAGCTTTACAAAGCTTTACACACTAAGCTACACTTTTGCGGTTACATTTTGTGGAGTAAATTTGTTTCTATGAAGCGATTGCTATGTGGTCAATCGCACATATCAGGGCTTGACTTCCTTGTAGAGACCAATGAATGATACATGTTACGGTTATGGTCTGGGGACAAACAGTTCTGACATACATTTAGCTTCAGTCTCCTCGTGTGGGGAACACACAAAAATTAGACCCCCAGCCCCTGACAAGCATGTCGCAAGAGTCGACTAATTAGATTTGTTTGTTTCGAAATCGGATTGTATCTGCCTAAGGCGGTGAAAAATTAAAAATTAAAGACTGTATAAGAATAAGCCAGATACGTACACCGGAGGTGTAGGCAAATGAAACCAGAAATTTCCACCAGAGTTTACAGCTGGTGAACGCGAAGTCGGTTTCTGGAGAAGTGGAACAAGCAGCTGGTGAACGCGAAGAATAAGTCCATTGGACAAGAGATTGGCAAATGTGTCTGGCAGACCATCCCATGATCACGTAGCAAAAGAATATTTTGTTTTCCATTTATGCGGATGGGATATTTTTTGCTACTATACAGGCTATAGTAAACATTTTCTTCTGTTGAAATTCAGGGATTTTAATGTTGATAAATGTTCCTGGAGTAGAGAAGACTTTTAGAGCTAACTTGTTTCAGCCACTAGTCCGAAGCGCTGTCGGGCAAACTTTAGACACGCGGCGTTGTGTAGCATGCATTCTATGTACTTGCTAATGTCGTGTATTAACATAAACATAACTTGTTTTCATGTTGACAGTCTTAGCCTTAGTCGGGGCTTCAATTGATTGTATAATTATTACAATCCATTAGCACCGGATAGGGCAGGGCATATTGTCCTAGGCTGACTAGCACTACAATCGGGTGACCACATACATGCTCCGTTCCTGTGCGAGGGAAAATCAAATGAAACATCCCTCAATGTCTTATCTGAGCATTTGAAAAAAAAAACAGTGAGGGATGTTTTATTTGACCAGTAGTGAAACAATAATAATGCAGAAGTTTAAAAAAAAAAATTACAATTGAAAATATATAAAATGAAATTTGTAAAAAAAAAAAAAAAGACAAAAATAGTATCAATCCTTTTTATATCAGCTATGGATTTGTTCCAGTTAGCTGAATCGGATAAAATATTTACAAAATAATACACACTGAAATATAAATGGATCAAAAGTATACTCATTTAAGTTGACCCATTTGCGTGTATGGTGATAAAATGCACTTCAACAAATGGATGTACGCTTGAACACTTACAATCACGGAAGCGAATGTTACAACTTATATAAAGGTCTTATGTTGTTTCCCGCTCAAGGATCGCCTACTTTCCAGTAAGCCCAAACTAACCCAGACGATTTTAACCGAAAATCTGCAAACTACTTTTGACCAGTGTTGGAATATAATGTGACGCATAGCAAACGCCTTCACATATTGCATATCTTACAACCTACAATTGTTCAAGAGAAACACGCCTAGCGTACTCAACGTGTGTAAATCATCTTCCACAGCGAATCAACAAAACCACTAACCCCTCTACAAACAAGGGCGACTATTGAAATATTTTCTCACGATAGACTCACGCCACCTTTAGAGATTACAGCATGCTATGCATACAGGATATTTCACTTGTTTGTGTTAGTGTTATACGGATAATTACGTTTATTGAAAACTGTAGGTGCCAGTCGAGCGCGCTCCAGCGTGTATAATGAATATTTCAGTGTTATGGATGATTTCGTTATTCTTCTTGTCGTGATATTTGTGATATTTTTGGATACGAATTATTACTTAACTTGAAAGCTAGTAGTGATTGTATGTACTGTCAAGCATTATAGCAATACTTTAGTCCATGTTAACTAAGCATCGTTTTTTTTTGGGGGGGGGGGGGGATTGGTGTTGATATCCCAACAACTTCCCAGATTGTACCCATTTCCCAAGGTCAGAAACAGTCTACAGTTCAGAGGGAACATGTGTGTCCATCTTGCCTGTAAATCGTTGCTTTCAATGGTTGCCGTGCTTACATCTCACGGGGAGCTGTTACAGTTGGAGATTTTTTTTTTAAATGAGTTTTAATTTAATCGGACCTGCGAACTAATGCCAGTTTTACAAATTCATATCTGTTTGGAAACATGGGAGTCGCCGTGACAATGTCAGCTAGACGCCCGTCAGCGGATCGAAAGGTCGTGGGTTCGCTTTCTGACGGAGTCGGGCTGTTTTCATAAATGACCTTGACTCCAAAGTTGACCCAGCCTTGAGTGCAGTCCTGGGTGTACTTGACGTGATGTCGACCACATAACTTATCAAGTGCCCATTGGTCTTTCAAAACATAGGTCTAGCCCTATATACCTATTACGACTAAAGTCGTGAAGAAGAGATATTTACCCTTTATTTTGTAACTGTATTCGAATACAAAATCGTCTGCTCAGCCGCTGCTCCCACTACATGAAATCAATAACAATAAACAAACGAACGTGACCCTTCCTACCTGCGCAGTCCTGACCGGTCCTGTTGTACGTGCAATTACAACTTCCGTCGGCCGAATCACATTTGTTGATACAGTAGTGGGAGCAACTCACATTACATGCGTCTCCATACTTTCTACCCGGGCATTCTGCAATAGATGACAGGATTGATTTCCGTTCTGTTAGTGCCTAGCTGATGATGAAGATCATCACCATGCAGCAGGTTCTTCGCAAAACATCTTTCTCATTACATCATGCCCACAACAAACATTACATCATGCCCAAAACAAACATTACATCATGCCCAAAACAAACATTACATCATGCCCAAAACAAACATTACATCATGCCCAAAACAAACATTACATCATGCCCAAAACAAACATTACATCATGCCCAAAACAAACATTACATCATGCCCAAAACAAACATTACATCATGCCCAAAACAAACATTACATCATGCCCAAAACAAACATTACATCATGCCCAAAACAAACATTACATCATGCCCAAAACAAACATTACATCATGACCAAAACAAACATTACATCATGACCAAAACAAACTCAATCTCCGGTTCGTGCACTTTCATTTCCTAGGAGACTTTATACTGTGCAAATCTTGGTTTTTTTCAGCCCCTGTCCTTCCTCACTGATACCATGCCTTCTGCAATTATGATTGTTGTCAATCCACCGTGGCGCTTGACAAGGCCAAAATAGTGAGCTCAACTGATCATACCGAATTATAATGTTGTATCAGTAATTCAAATGAGAGACAGGTGCAAACAGCCAGAAGTTAATAAGATTTATCCCGAAACGCTGCATGTGCAAGATACAAGTAAGCAACAGTAACTAATTACCAGTACGATCAGAGGCAAGTGATATCAGAGAGAATGTTGCAACATGACACGCTGGCAAGAAAGCGAGAGACGGAGATCAAAGCAGTTTGGGAAAACAAGCAAAAACGTCAACATATCAACCTCAAAATGAGACCTTGCACTACTGAACATGTGGTGACGTGAACTAATTCAACACACAAACAATCTGAGACGCCCCACAAAAGAGAAAACCACGAACACTGAGCTACACTTTGTCTCAGGCTACAATCCAGTACAAGTGAGGTGATAACAGAAGAACAATCAATAAGCAGTTTACATAGAGAGCTATAAAATGCCATCGAATTAGGAAGTAGGAAAAATGACGATAGCCTTGGATACACGAAGACTGCCAGAACCTGCTAAATTATAACTGCACAATCTTTTCACTAGAAAACCACTTTAGTATTTGTGCTGGCATTCAGTACCTAGTGTTAAGCTAGGGGTGGGGTCTTCATGAAATAACTCAAGGCGCGCGTCTCTGAAAGCCTCGGACAGCCAAAGTTCAACTCCTGGCCTTCTCGTGGCGGAGATGTTTAATCTAACAGGTGAAGGGGCGAAAGCTTGTGTTCGTCACTTTACCCAGACACTTCGGGAAGATAGGGCGCCTGCAACTCATCTAAAAGAAAACATTTCTTTTCTCAAACTTCAGGCAGATAGGGCTCGCTAGAACGGGAGTGCAACTCATCTAGGTAAAAGGAAAACACTGTTTCCAAACCGTCACTGCCTTGTGTCCATACACTACCTCGGGAAAGTGCTTCAGGAGTACACTATGAGGAAAAATCCGGAGCTGGAATACTTAAGTGGTTTACAGTAGGGCTGTACCAAATATTCGCTTCGGGGCCGAATAGTGGACCTAATAACTATTCGGTATTCGGCCGAATACTTGCGGTCGGGCTGAATACGAATAGTGGTTACCTCACACCCATTTCTGCATACACTGCGAAGGACTGAAATAACTCTCTCAATAACACAATAGTTGCTGTTGCCTAAGTCTGTCATAGCGGGA